CTGAATTGATTTGTTCTCAATAAGTCCTCCACTTTCACATTCTTTAATAACTGTTTGCATGTTTTCCATTCCTAATAATTATGGATCTTGGTATGGCAGTGCACTAGCTAACCATAAAGTTGACAATTCAAATCTACCAGCCATTCCTTGGAAACCCTATACAAGGTCACTGTGAGTCAGAACTGACTTGACAGTACTTAACAGCAACAATTATTATGAGTTACTAGAGGTCTAGATAGTGTTTGAGTTCATTTTCTAATAGTCTAGCAGTGCCTATGTCATCGAATGACTCAAAAATGAATACATAAATAATAAGAGAAATGTTAAAGATGGAATATAATTGATGGGTGAATTGATTATTTAGGAAATAGTTGTTTTAGAAAGTCAGAGAAGAAAAAGATTGTTTTTGGTTCCTCAAAAGTCATAAATCCATTTTTTTAAGGTAAATATGATGGGTGTGGGGGTAGAGGGAAAGAAGGGATAGCATCTGCAAAGCTCTGTGAACATGCATGAGAATTGAGGGTGATATTATAGCAGGCAGTGACATGAGACTTCTGGTTTTGAATGACTCTAGCTACAATATAAGGTGCCCTGGTGGCACTGTGTGTTAGGCATTGGGCTGTTAAGTGCAAGGTTGGTAGTTCAAAACCATTAGCTGCTCTATGGGAGAAAGATGAGACTGTTTGCACCCATAAAGATTTACAACATTGGAATTTGCTTCTATAGTGTCACTGCAAGTTGGAATCAACTCCACAGAAGTGAGTTTTGGGGGCTACAGTGTGGAAGATGGATTGGCAGAGGCTGGAGTGGTAAAAAACGGACCGAGTCAAGACATCATTAGGAAGTAAATCTGACAGGATTTCATGATTGACTGCACGTGGGAGGTGAGAGAAAGGGCCTTAAGAGCCGTGTCCCAGTTATGTAATATGTGGGTGCAGTCTTTTCTAATAATGTGACTGATGGTTTTATTTATCACATTCCAATCTGGACATCAATATGAAGCCTTTTCCAGCATCATCTGTTTTCTCAGCTATAGTGTGACATTGTGTTAAAGAGAATGGGCTTTGGCATCAGACAGTACACCTGCCAAGCTAACTAAGTTTTCTGACCCTCTGTTTCCATATCTGAAAAACAGTAATATTCCTATCTCATGAGAATGCTATGAGTATTATTAAATGGATTACCAAATGTAAAGCACTTAGTCTGGTGCCTCATCTAAAGCTTCCACTACATAAACCACAGTGAGGAGAATAATATTAAACCATTCCATTTATCGTATCCTGTTTTCGTAAGTGTTGATAAATGGAAATGAAGAGGATAATAATGAAATGTTTTAAAACCTGACTATAGTTAAATATAAAAGGCTCTTTGGATCTTTTAATCATTTCTCTAAGGCAGGGAGCTGAATAAATGGCCTTTGTGTCTAGAACAAGTAGAAAGGTTCATGAAATTCTAAACTAGCCTTATAATAGAATGTAACTTAAAAATAGAATATGCAAAAAGAAAGGTGAATCTATGAAGATACTGTGCTATCAAAAGTATAAAATATTAATAACATTTTCACTAAGGTACATGATTTAAGACTCTACTTTTAACTTGTTGTTGTTAAGTGCTGTCGAGTTGATTCTGACCCATAGCAACCCTGTATAGGGTTTCTAAGGAGCAGCTGGTGAGCTGGAACTGCCAACCTTGCAGTTCAAACGGCTTTGCCGTCTGGCATATTAACCCACAGTGCCATACCAGGACTTCTCATGTGAAAATATAAAGTGGAATCTAAGTAATATTTGCATATTGAAACAAATGCAAAATAGCTTAAAGAAATAATTAAGTATCAATTATATAATATGCAGTACTGGAAGACAATTTATACTTTTCTAGTTTATTTTTTTAAATTGTATATAAATCTGATTTTTAAAAATCTGTATTTAGATTTAATAGCCTACTACTCTGTCAGTTTGTCATAGTGTGGTGACTTGTGTGGCGCTGTGATGTGGAAGCTATGCCACCAGTATTTTAAACACCAGCAGGGTCATCCATGATAGACTGGTTTCAGCAGAGCTTCCTGACTAAGGCAGGCTAGGAAGAATGAGAAGCCAACCACTTCTGAGTGGTTAGCCACTGAAAACCTTATGAATAGCAGCAGAAAATTGTCAAGTATAATGACAGAAGATGAGCCCCTCAGGTTGGAAGGCATTCAAAATATGACTGGGGAAGAGCTTCCTCCTCAAAATACAACTGACCACAATGATGGGAATGGAGCAAATCATTTGGGACCTTCATTTACTGTTGGGGTACAACTCAAAATGAGAATAAACAGCAGTAAACATCTATTAGTAATCAGAATGTGAAACGTATGAAGTATGAATCTAGGAAAATTGGAAGCTGTCAGTAATTAAATGGAATGCATAAAGATCAATATCCTAGGCATTAGTGAGCAGAAATGGACTGGTATTGGCCATTTTGAATCTGACAATCATGTTATTTACTATGCCTAGAGGGACAGATTGAGGAGGAATGATGTCACATGTATTATAAGAACACTTCAAGATCTTTCTGTAAGTATAATGCTGTCTGTGAAAGAATAATATCCATATGCCTACAAGGAAAACCATTGAATACCATTACTATTCAAATTTCTGCACAAACTATTAAAGCCAGGGACAATGAAATTGAAGAACCCTACCAACTTCTTCAGTCTGAAATTGATCAGGCATGCAATAAAAATGTAGTGATAATTACTGGTGATTGGAATGTGAAAGTTGGAAACAAAGAAGAAGGATCTGTAGTTGGAAATATGAACTTAGTTATAGAAATGGTGCTGGCGATCTCTTGACAGAAATTACTAGATGACTGACTTAATTCATTGCAAATACCTTTTTAAAACAAAGTAAAAGGCAACTATACACATGGACTTCACAAGATGGAATATACAGGAACCAAACTGACTACATCTGCAGGTGGAGAAGATAAATGCCATCAGCCAAAACAAGGTCAGGGGCAGATTATGGAATAGAGATTGGAGGCACTCACTCATCTATGCCAAGAAATTTGGAAGACAGCTACCTGGCCAACTGATTGGAAGAGATCAGTATTTGTATCCATTCCAAAGAGAGGTGATCCAATGGAATGAAGAAATCATCAAACAATTATTATCACATGCAAGTAAAATTTTGCTGAAGATAATTAAAAAACAGTTGCAATAGTACATAAAGGGAATTGCAAGAAACTCAAACCAGATTCAGAAAAGGACGTAGAACTAGGGATATCTTTACTCATGTCAAATGGATCTTCGCTGAAAGCAGAGAATACTAGAAAGATGTTCTCTTGTGTGCTTTACTGACTATGCAAAGACTTTGGACTGTGTGGACCATACAAACTATGGATAATTTTCTGAAGAATAGGAATTCTAGAACACTGAATTATGCTTATGAAGAACCCATGTATATAGACCAAGTGGCTGTTGTAAGAACAGAACAAGGGGATACTGAATGGTTTAAAATCAGGAAATGTGTCCATCAGGGCTGTATTCTTTCACCATACTCAATCTGCATGCTGAACAAATAATCCAAGAAGCTGGATTATATGCAGAGAACATGGCATCTGGATTGAAGGATAACAACCTGCGATATACGGATGATACAATCTTGCTTGTTGAAAGCAAAGAGAATTTAAAATACTTACTGATGAGTCAAAGGCAACCTTCAGTATAGATTGCATCTCAACATAAAGACAACAAATCCTCACCACAGAACCAATAAATAACATCATAATAAATGGAGAAAAGATTGAAGTTGTCCAAGACTTCATTTTGCTTGGATCCACAATCGACACTCATGGAAGCAGCAGTCAGGAAGTGAAAGAACGTATTGCAGTAGGTAAATTTGGGGCAAAATTAAGTTAGTTAAGTGCTGTTGAGTTGGTTCTGACACATAGCGACCCTGTATAGAGTTTCCAAGTTGCAGCTGGTGGGTTTGAATTGCCAACCTGTGGTTCACAGTCCAGTGCTGATTCACAGTGCCACAACAGAAGTGCAAACTTTAAAGGGTTCAAGAGCTTGAATTTTGAAGTGTTCAAAGAGCAAAAATGTCAGATTGAGGACTAAGGTGCGCCTGACCCTAGCCATGCAATTTTTAATCACTCCATATGCAGGAAAACATTGGACAAAGAATCAGGAAGATGGTAGAATAATTGATAGATTTGAATTGTGGTGTTGGAGGAGAATATTACAAGTACCATGGAAAGAAAAACAACAAAAAAAAAGTACAGAGGAACAAACAACTTGGTCTGGGAAGAAATGTAAGCAGAATGCTCCTTCTAAGCAAAGATGGTGAGAATTGTCTCTCATACTGTAAACATGTGATCAGGAGGAACCAGTCTCTGGAGAAGGACATCATGCTTTGTAAAATGGAGGGTCAGCAAAAAAGAGGAAGACCCTTAAGAGATGGACGGACATAGTGGCAGCAATAACGCTCTCAAGCATAGCAAAGATTTTGAGAACGGCATGGACTGGGCAGTGTTTCCTTCTGTGGCGCACAATGGTGCTGTGAGTCAGCACCAACTTGACTGCATCTAGCGACATCTGGAATCTTTGTCTTAAAGTTTTCATTCTTTGTCTTCTGTTTTATATAAAATAGTCATTTAAAGAACAACTACTGTACTTTTCTTTTGCTGTAAAAGGAAGCTTTATTGTTTGCATTTGGGCCACGGCTTGGGAGAAGAGGAGCTCCAGGGTGGTGACAATGCTGGAGGGAGAGGTTCAGGCAGAAGGTTTGGGGACAACAGGGGAAGGTTGCTTGTGCTTGAGTGTGAGCCTTTTGAAGAGATCTCCTAGCCTGCGGAGGAGGTTGGTCAGATGGTCATCCATCTTTTTGAGAATTTTCACCTCCTCATCTAGGAGACGGTTCTCCAGAAAGTCACAGAGGTATGGGGTCTGTGTGGATAGCCCCCATGATATGCTTGGGGACTGATTAAGGTTCTTCTCTAGGGCCAGGGTGGATCCCATGGCAACTAGGGTTATTCCCCAGCCATCTTGGGATGGCTCTGCATGTTCTAAAAGAGAGTGTGGTTTTGCAGTATCAAGAGACACTGGGCACCCTCGCGCTTCCCCTTGGTCAGCTATTGAAGAAGTGTTTCATGCTTCCCAAGGCCACGTGATTGAGATCAAAATAGCCCAGAGAGAGGTAGGTGTAAGAGGCTCACAGATGCAGGTTGACCATATATAGTGGATGCCGGCCTCTTCTTCAGAGGAATAATTCTGATGGGTCTGCGAGTTCATTGTTGGTCAAGGATTTGGAGCTAACCACATACACACACAAACTGTGTTTAGCAGTTCCCAGAAACAGGGAATGGCCAAAAAGATGGTGCCGGAGAAGAGATTGTGCCTAAAGAAGAGGTTAGAGGGGGTCTGAGGCTGGAGTTGGGGAGTGTTCCATCCATACATTGTTGAAGCAAGAGACAGATCCCTGGCAATACTGGGCGAGCTTTACTTTTTCAAATGCTTTATGACTTTTGCATATCTTAAGAGGCAGTCATTTGAACAGAGGAAGGGGGTACTGTGTGGTGTAAAATCAGGGAATGTTGGCATCAGGGTTGTAACTTTGCACCATACTTTTTCAATCTGTGTGCTGAACAAATAATCCAAGAAACTGGACTGTATGAAGAAGAATACAGCATCAGGATTGGAGCAAGTCTCATTAACAACCTGTGATATGCAAATAATATTACAACCTGTGCAAAGAGAACTTGAAGCACTTACTGATGAAGATCAAAGACTACAGTATGGATTACTACTCAATGTAAAGAAAACAAAGATCCTCACAACTGGACCAATAAACAATATTATCATAAAGAAAGAAAAGATTGAAGTTGTTAAGGATTTCATTTTAGATCCACAATCAACAGCTGTGGAAACAGCAGTCAAGAAATTAAATGATGTGTTGCACTGGGCAAAACTAATACAAAATACCCTTTTTAAAGTGTGAAAAGCTAAGATGTCACTTTGAAGACTAAGCCCCAACTCATGTTCTTTTTCGTCCCTCACATGCATGTGAAAGCGGGACAGTGATTAAGGAAGACTGCAGAATAATTCAGGCTTTTGAATTATGGTGTTAGTGAATAATATTAAACATACCATGGACTTCCAGAAGAAGCAACAAATCTGTCAGAAGAAGCACAGCAAGAATACTCCTTAGATAATGCTTATCAGGACGGATTATGAGGGTTGGAAATGCAAAGGTAGAAGTTTTGTAACAAGGAAGGGAGTGATTGATCCTCCAGGATAGGAGCGGAGGCCTCTGGGACCATCAACGGAGAAGAGCCGAGAGCGGGACCCTACCCAGAGAAACAGAGATGCCTGAGATGGAGACAGAGATCATGACATGGAGTGATGAAGCAACTGGAGACTTTGGACCCAGAGAGGGAAAGGGACTGTGGGCCCAAAACTGGGGGGGAGGAAGGGGAAGTGTAGGGGGCGGGTTTCTGGGATATACCCTTTGGGTGGTTGAGGATGCATGGAGGGGATTGGAACCATGGCAGTGAGATGATACACAATGGAATGAATGTAAAACTAAAGTTCTCCCATGTAAACTATCATATAATTCACAATAAAACATTTTTTAAAAATTGCATTATTTCAGTTGCAGGGCTTCTAATTATGATTCAGTTGATAAAACTGGTGCTAAGTATGTAATAATAACCTTGCCCCTTCATTTATGTTTGCCTCTGTGCTAATTTTCTTTTTAAATTAAATTCTTCAAAAGAGAGGAAAAAAAAAAAAAGAATACTCCTTAGAAGGGAAGATGGCAAGCCTCTGTCTTACATACTGTGGGCATGTTATTAGGAGGAACCAGTCCTTGAAAAAGAACATCATGCTTGGTAGAAGAGAGGGTCAGGGAAAGAGAAGACCCTCAACCAAATGGATTGGAACCATGGCTGTAACACTGGACTGAAACATAGCAATGATTGTGCAGATGACTTAGTACCATGCAGTGTTTTTGTTCTGGGGTACACAGAGTTGCTATGAGTTGGAACAACTCAACGGCACCTTACAACAACACAGTGTTTTATCAAATGGAATATAAGAAAATCATTTGTAAAATGTAAAGCATTATACAAACACAAAGCTTCTTTTATGATCTATTATAAATCTTTTAGTCTGTTAAATTGAATTCTGGTGCATTGCCAAGTTTTAATAATGTAACAGAGAGATGTTTTTGCACCAAAATATGATATAAAATAGATTTCTGATTTTTTTTTTTAAGCAACTTAACACACTGCCTTTCAAATCCATTTGGTTAAAATTATTCTTTTTAGTTGGTTAAGAAGACATTTGATGAGTATATAAGATATTAATGAAGTTCAGTTTAAGTAGTAGTCATCTGTTAAATTTGCATAGTATTGTTACCGCTAGAGCAAACTGCACCTCTGCACATCTACTAATTGAGGCTAGTCAGATGAGGCAGGGTTTCCATTTGAGCAAAGGTTTATTATAGGAAAGAGGCTGGCAAACAGAGACAGGGAGGGCCTAACACAATGTTTAACTCCCTTCTCCCCAAACAAACGCTTTAAAAAACTTTTGAGTAGGGAAAAGGCATCACGTTTATTCACAGCGATAGGCGGGGTTTTCTGTTTAGGAGGGGCCATTTAAATTGGGTGCTTATGCAGCATTTCTTCAAGATGTATTCTACCGCAGTGGCCTCTGGTAGGAGCAGACAAAAGTTACTATGGAATGTCGCACATGGGTGGTTATTCAGTACTCAAGTTCTAACCCCCTCCAAGTGGCTGGGTTCTCTGGCCCCCAAAAAAGGTTATCTTTCAAGGGGGTAAAACCAGTTAAATTGTACAAGGAAGTAAAACAAATATTCTGGGTGATCTGTTACAGTAAACAGGTAAAATGGGCAAGGTTTAGGGATTAATGTATTCATTCTACAAGAGGTTCCCTAGGCTCCCTTTTCAGAGATTTGAAGGGGTCAAGTAGCAGATGTTGGGGGTTGGGCCACATGAGGGTCTCAGATGGGCACACTGTAGCTGCTTAGGGGGTGTCTCTGGGAGTTTATGGGGCTACAGTTCTCAGAAACCATCCACTACTAAGGATTCACTAAGTGAACATTTACTACACACTGGGTCAGGTGCTGAAGGTACTGTAGAGAACTAGAGACCTCCTAGGCTCCCTGCCTTAATATGGCAATGTTAGATGTTGTTACTATCATTGTCTGTTATGTGTCATGCACTGTGGGCAGTTAGCTTCATAAAACAGCCATATATTTCCGGAACTAGAAAATTGTAATGCTTAGGAAGGCATATAGAATGTAATAAAATTTAAGCTGACATCCAGGTCTTGAATGGATGGGGATTAATGATAAAATCTTCTTCCTTTATCCGCTGAGGCTTTTTCAGTTGTCTTCTCTTTTGGGTTCAACCTAATCTGAGCTTTGGTGTCGCAATGGTTAAGTGCTGGGTTGCTAACCTAAAAGTCCATGGTTGGAATCCATCAACAGCTCAGCAGGAGAAAAAACTGGAGATCTGCCCCCCTATAGATTTCAGTCTTGGAAAACCTAGGGCAGTTCTACTGTTTGTTATAGGCTCACGCTGAGTCCGGATCTACCAGAGACACACAACAAACATATAAACTACTAAACTCTTTCTGAGCCTAGAACCCTGGATCTCTGAAAGCACTCTTGACCTCATCCAGGCTAGTTAAGTCGTGTCCTCACATACTAAGATGAAAAAAATACATAATTTAACGAGGAGGATCTTCCTTGCGTGGGTCCACACCCTTAGCCATTTTAATTGGAGGTGACCTAGACGTGGTGGAAGAATGCTCTATCTTCTTGGTTGGGGGCTCACAGTAGGGGGAAAAAAAACAAACAACATACCAGGTTTTCACCCCGGTTAGACGGTGGGTTTCTAAGCGGGTGTCGGGTGGTGGCGCACACAGGAGATAGTCCTTATAGATGGTTGCCACTTTTCTGTGGGTGCTGTGGGCTAATGCGCTGGAATGCAAAGTCGGTTTGAACCATAAGGTTGGTGGTTCAAGCTCCCCAGCTACTCCTTATAACCCTATGCAGGGTCGCTATGGGTCGGAACGGATTCCATGGCACTTAACAACTACTTTCAATAAGGAGTCCTGGTGTGGCTGGTTAATGCTCTAGACTGCAAGATCGGTTTGAACCATAAGGTCGATGGGTCAAGCTCACCAGCTGCTCTTTGGAAACCCCATGCAGGGTCGCTATGGGTCGGAACCGACTCGATGGCAGCAACAACTTTCAGTAAAATAGATTTCATACAAAACGGCATTGGTAAGGGAAGGCCACCGCCCATTGTCCTACCTCCAGCACCGACGCTCCCTCCGCAGCGCGGAGGCGGATCAGGAGGGATCGCGGGCTCGGAGCGAGCGATCGCTCGGCTCTCTGATACTGCTGTCTGCGGGTTGCTAGGGAGTCGGGACGCGCAGCGCCAGCTCGGAGGAGTCTAGTGGAGCAGGCCCCAAGCCGGCCGAGGAACTGGGTACTGGCCTGGCTCGTACTTTCCCCCGAGTGGTCAGATCTTGAGCTGGGGCCGTGAATATCGTGGCTTTCCCGGCCCTGAGAAGAACTATGGAGCCTGGGAAGGTCGGTGCAGGAGTGGACTCGGGCGAGGCCTTGGAGAGAGAGAGAGGGCCTGGGGCGGGTACCTGGAGCTCGGCCCCCTTTCTCCTCTGCTGCCCACCCTGCAGTACCCCCCACCCACTCCCCGCTGCTCACGGGGCCCCTTCACACTCCCTGTCCTCAGAATTAGTAATTTTTTAGAGAGATAAAGTTCGGGATTCGGTGAAATTCTAGTCCTGATTTGAATTTCTTAATAACTTTGGAGGAGTTTGGAGGAAATCTGGTCAATGTAGTTCTCCCTAGATGAAGGGGCTTGAATCCAACTGAGAACCTAATGAGAAGCGGAATAAATAAGACCTCCATTTATTTATTTGAAACTAATTGCTTAGCTTTTTTTTTAGGATCCTGGTTTAGGTTTGTAGATTACTCAAGGAAATCTCAGACGTTTTCTAATCCTTAAAGGTGAGCTATGGAGTCCTAGTGTAGTGCTGTAGAATAAGTCCTGGACTACAAGGTCGGTTTGAACCACAAGGTTTGCGATTCAAACCTACGTGCTGCTCCTCGGAAACCCTATACAGAGTCGCTATGAGTCAGAAATGACTTAGTGGTATTTACCAACAACAACAAAGGTGAGCTAGAGATTAGATTTCTTTTTTGTGTGTGCAGATTGGACTCTCTGCCTTCATTAATTTTTCTCTTCTAAGTGTTGAGGAGCTTGTTGGAGGAATTCTTTCAATTTGATCCTGTTGTTAAGTGCCGTCGAGTCAATTCTGACCCATAGCGACCCAATATAGGGTTTCCAAGGAGCAGCTGGTGAGCTCGAACCACTGATCTTGAAGTTATAACGACTTTGCAGTCTGACGCATTAGCCCACAGTGCCACACCAGGATTTGATCTAGCAACTGGGAAAAGGCACGTTTAAACTTGGTGGCTCTCTAGGATAGGTACTAGACTGTGAACCACAAGGTTGGTGGTTCAAGCCTATCAGTTGCTCCATGGGAGAAAGATGTAGCTTTTTGCCCCCGCAAAGATTTACAACTTCAGAAACCTTATACATGGTCCCTATGAGTCTGAACCAACTTGACAGCATGTAACAACAACAACAAAGTAGATCACTTTTACTGTTGTTCTAAGGTCATAGATTTTAAATGCCTTGCAAACCAAACCCAGTGACATGGAGTGGATTCTGACTTAAAGCGACCTCTGGTGGCGTATGGGTTACACATTGGGCTGCGAACCTCAAGGTCTGTAATTTGAATCCACCAACTGAAGAAGAGACTTTCGCCTCCTCTAAAGATCAGAACTGATTCAGTGGCAGTTGGTTTGGTGTGGAGAATGCACATTTATTTTACAGGAGCAGCTGGTGGGTTCAAACCACCTTTTTGGTTAGCAGCTGAGCATTTTAATCACTGTATCACCAGGACTCCTTGGTGTTAAGCTGTTAAATGCCATCTACTTGTTTCTGACTCACAGTGACCCTGTATAGGGTTTCCAAGGAGCGGCTAGTGAATTTGAATTGCCAACCTCATGGTTAGCAGTCAAATGCTTATATTACATACCAGGACTCCTAAAGTGCCTTAAAAACCAAAAAGCAAAACAATACAAAACACCAGCCAACCCTACTACCATGGAATGAATTGAGACTCATAGGAACCCTAGGTTTCTGAGACTAAATCTTTATACAGACAGCTCACCTTTTCTCCTGTGGAGTAGCTGGTGAATTTGAACCACCAACCTTTCACTCAGCAGCCCAGTGCCTAACCCACAGTGCTACCAGGACTCCTTAGTACCAATCACTGCCCAAGTACAGTGTTTGCAACTTAATATTCGGCTTTCTTTTGAAGTATAATACTGTTCTAAATAAGGTTGTCAGCTACCATGTTTTTTCCTGTAACTCTCTGGCTAAAGTTTAGAGAATTTTTCTAATGTAGAGTTTAATTTTAGCATAGATTCTTCATAGTAATCTGATATGCATAATAGCAGTTAGGTATTTACCCATCCATTACATGTGGTGGGTTTCTATGTGAGGTGGGTTTCATGCCATTTTGACAGTGTTCTTATTCTTCAGGCTTGTGTTGTTGTTAAGAGCTATGTAATCTCTTCTGACTCACAGTGATTCTGTATAAGGTTCCCAAGAAGTAACTGGTGGGTTTGAACCGCCGACCTTGCAGTTAGCAGTCTAGTGCCTATCCTACAGCTTACACCCGGGTCTTAGCTGGACTTAATCCTATTAATACATTTCATGGTTGTGTTCTATACTATGTTGTAATGTATCATGACAGTTGACCAAAAGGAAAGAATTGTAGTAGGTAATTTTTTATTTCATTGGATACAATATCTGAAACTACTCTTCTCCATCTTAATCTTCTCCATCTTAATCTTTTAAATTTGAGAAATAGTAGTTTTTGCATATTTTTGGTGGTGTTGAGTGCTGTCAACAGGGTTTCCAAGGCTGTAAATCTTTACGGGAGTAGAAAGCCTCATCTTTCTCCCGCAAAGCAGCTGGTAGTTTCGAACTGCTGACCTTGCGGTTCGAAGCCTGATTCGTAACCACTACGCTACCAGATTGTTGTTGTTGTTGTTAAGTGCCGTCGAGTCGGTTCCGACCCATAGCGACCCTGTACAGGGTTTCCGAGGGTGTAAATCCTTATGGGAGTAGAAAGCCTCATCTTTCTCCCGCAGAGCGGCTGGTAGTTTCGAACCGCTGACCTTAAGGCTCGCAGCCCGATTCGTAACCACTACGCTACGCTACCAGATACTCAGAGCTAAATTAGAACACTTGATTTTCTGATGCAAACACTATACATGAAAAAAACCTAAAAACTTTAAAAAGAACTATACAAACTGTTGAATAATATAAAAGTGAAATCTCTTTTCAACTCTAGAAGTGAACAATTTTTATTTTAGTTCTCCTGATGGTAACTACTATTATTCTATCTATTATGCTTTTACCTCTGTTTCTTGACTTACCAATTTTATACAGTACACGTTGAAGAGACTATAGCACGGAGCAGCATTATCCACCAGCTTTTCTAGCAATGATGGCAGTGTTCCATGTCTGTGCTGTCTAGAATAGTAACCACTAGCCACGTTTGGCTGTTGAGCGCTAGAAATGTGCTCAACGTGACTAAGGAGTTAAATTATATTGAATGAAACTTAAAATTTTACTAGTCCCGTGTCACAGCTCTAGTGGTTAAGATTATAGTTCAGTTACTTGAGTTGGAATTCTGACTTTATTATTTATGCGCAAGACTTTGGGAATGTTACTTAATACATCTTATTTCCTACTTTATAAAGTGGGCACAATAAAAGTAACCAACTGCAGAGGATGTTCATGAGGATTAAGTAAGAACTTGTATATGAAGGTACTGAGAACAGTGTCTATTGCTGCAGCAAACATGCATTAAATCTTAGCGGTTATTATTCTTGGCGCCTGTTGATTCCCCAGTAAAAGAAAGGAGGAGTCTAGTTTATGTACATTACCTCCCTTCTCCCTATTGTTATGTTTTCTATAGTTTACTGTTAAATAATATTAATTAACATGTATTTGTAGATGTGGTTATTGTTGTTAAGTGCTGTGGAGTCGGTTCTGACTCATAGCGGCCCTGTGTGTATAAAGTTTCGAGGTTGTAAATCTTTGTGGGAACAGAAAGCCTCATCTTTATCCCACGGAGGGGCTGGTGGGCTCAAACCGCCAGCCTGTCTTGTGGTTCATAACCCATTGCCTACTGAATACACTCACCATACTCTCCTAACGTCCCACTGGTTAAAAAGAAAAACATACCAAAAACCTGGAACTGAACCCATTCTTTGATGTTATGTGCCATAGAGTTGGGTTCAAACTCATAGCGAACCTGTACTGTGTTTCCGGGGCTGCAAATCTTTGCAGGAGCAGAAAGCCTCATCTGTCTCCCATGGAACAGCTGGGAGTTTCGAACTGCTGACTGTGAGATTAGCAGCCCGATTCCGTAACCACTGTGCTACCAGAGCTCCAAACCCATCCTGGGAAACTAGTAATTGATTCAACGGTGATGCTTTTCGACACTGTAGAGCTGCCCCATAGAGTTTCCAAGGCTGTAGATCTTTATAGAAACAACCATCACATCTTCCTCCAGCAGAGGAAGCCAAACACATCAATAACTGCCCCCAGGGCTCCTTTTCCCACTAGTTGTTTTAGTTGCCTGCCATCAAGTCTTTCCTGAATGATAGCGACCCAGGATAGGGTTTCTGAGTGGTTTGAACTGCTGACCCTATGGTTTGCAGTCCAGTGCTGATCCTACAGTGCCACACTAGGGGTCCTTCCCACTATTTAAAAGTAGGAAATGAGTGTTGTTCGTGGCCATTGAGTCAGCTCGGTCTCATGACCACCTTACATCTAAGATGGTACAACCTATGTAAGGTGGAAACTTGCCAGAAAAGGAAAAAGTGGAAACTCAAATATTTACCACTAGTAGAGAACAATAGAAAAGACTACACCCTGTGAAAGACAGAAAGCTTGTGCGATCCAGAAAAACAAGGGAATTCATTGAGTTTTGACTCTCAATCTCACTGTAGTATAAGACCAGTGCCTGGCCTTATGCAGTCCGCTTAGTCCTTGGCCTACTAGAGTCCACTGTTGTGGCTATTGTGTTGTGTTTTCCAGCCTGGGGGGCTTCTCTTCCAGCACTATGTCTGACAACATTCTAAGAAACTAGTACTTTACATTGTTTTCCATTTCATCTTATCCTCAACCCACTGACTTCCTGATCTCTGTGACCTTCCGTACCATTCCCTTTACATTGTTTGCAAGTTTCTCTGTAATTTAAATTCAACTGTAGATTATCCTTAGTTGACGTCTAAGTAGAAACCCTGTAAGTGCTATAATACGGTTCTGTAAATACAGTGGAACCTGATGGCGCACTGGTTAAGTGCTTGACTGCTAACTGAATGTTTGGCAGATTGAATCTCCCCAG